CCCCCCCCCAAGAAGTTCTCGTTTTCTGCCCCTCTGCTAGTAGCTTTCGAAACAGGCAGACACCTTTCAAAACGTTTTTAGTGTTTATGGCAAAATGTCGCCCGTGGGGAGGTTGTTGGGGAGTTGAAATAGACTCTTGATGTTTCCGATTGGTTTCTCTTCGCATTTTCTGAAAGCTACAGAGGAATTTAACAGTTGACTTTAGCAATTTCATCAAAATCGTTTCTTGTCCAGTGTGTGTTTTCATTCCTGAAGTTCAGAGATTTATTTGGATAATTCAGGCTAGAACACAAAAGTCTGAGTATCCAAATACTTTTCACAGTTTTATCCTTGCGTATGTGGAGAGAGCGTAAAGAATCACTGTGTCAAGCCATCTATATAACTTCTGTGAATTTTTGTCCGCCCAAAGTTCTTCATTTGGATTGGTTTCCAGGTGTCTGTTCAGTGTCTGGAGTATAAGCCAGGGTAGGGTGTACTTTTTGATACCTTCCCGTGTTGAATGTGGAAAGCAGAAGTATGTAACATTTTAATCTTGTGATTTTTTTAGTTTTACAATGTTAGACATTCGTTTTCTCTATTTTTAGGCTATTTTCTTTTTAGGATCTCTCCTCCCCTGCCCCCAGCAAAACTTTAGCACATTTGGGTTATAGTGTTACAGACTCCTTAGAGCTGGAAGTGACTTTGAAGAGTATAATCAGCTCCACTCAAGGGATGAGAGATGGAGACTCCGTGAAGGTGGTTTGGGCTCTTAGTGTGTAGCTGGATCTGGAACCTTGATCTTTTCATTCTCACTCTTGGCCATTTTCTTTACAGCACAGACCATGGCTGTAGTTAAGTCAATGCAGCCTATCTTAATGACATTTGTAACGGGTTGTAAAGTAGGGAGCACTTGGTTCTTGGTTCCTGTGAAGTAAAAATAAATTGCATCATCTGTCTAAGATGCACCTGATGTCTCTCACACGAGTTCACGTTGGAACAAAATACACTGGGATGCAGTGAATTCATTTATTCATATTTGTGTGTATGTGCACCATTTAAATGCTTTTCTTGAGATGAGTGGTTCCATGGTACATATAGAGCTGATTCCTTTCTCTTGAACAGATATGCTCTGTAAAAATGTGGACGTTTTCGGGTCTGCGATGGTGACCCTGTGATTCTCTTGGATATCACATGACATCTACCTGTTGGTGAAGGAGAGTTCTTTGGAATAAAGCCCAAGTTCTGAGATATTCTGGAGAGAAGTTTCTGTACGCATTTCTGTATCACTTCTCACAGAACTAATTTTCTTTAACAGTGGGTTACAATGTTTGATAGTGCTTGGGTCCCCCCCCCCCCCCCAATTGGATAATTTTAAGAGTTAACTTGTGTTGACTGCCGTGCAGTCTTGAAGGGTTTTTTGTTTTTGGTCCCAATAGTTATTAGCAAGTGGTTTTATCTAAGGGAATAATAGGCTTGTCCGTCTTATGAACTCCACTGCTGAAAATGGCTGGCCCATTTCCCCAGAGAAGGAAGGTAATTTGGTGGAAGATTTCATTTAGATTCAAGTTCCCAAACTGTATCTGGCATTATTTAGTCCTGCTGTATTTTATTTGGAAATCAAGTACAAAAGTTGAAGGTTTCTGTTACATAGTGACCTTATTACTGCTTTTTTCATCATCCCACATTTTCTATAATAATATAAAATTATTACCAAAAAAGACAGCTGAAGTATGGAGAAAACTTCATGAACATAGGGACATTATCCATTTTGATGTTTGTTTCAGAGATTACTTCCTTAAAAAAACATTTTTTTTTAACGTTTATTTTGTGTGACATGGCATGAGTGGAGGAGGGTCAGAGAGAGAGGGAGACAGAGAATCCCAAGCAGGCTCTGCACTGTCAGTGCAGAGCCGGATGCGGGGCGTGAACTCACGAATTGTGAGACGATGACCAGAGCCGAAGTCAAGAGTCCGATGCTTAACCGACTGAGCCACCCAGGCACCCCAGAAATAACTTCCTAATTGTGGACAAGTGAAACAAATAAAACATGGGTAGAATACATAACTGTGCTCCCCAAAGGATTCTGGGTGCGTTGTATGTATAACCACATTTTCACTGCAGTCCTTTGATGAAAGTGAGGTTTTAAGTCACTTGCCCCAGGGAACCGAAGAAATGTCTGTACTTAAAGATACAAAGGAGGGGCGCCTGGGTGGCGCAGTCGGTTAAGCGTCCGACTTCAGCCAGGTCACGATCTCACGGTCCGTGAGTTCGAGCCCCGCGTCGGGCTCTGGGCTGATGGCTCAGAGCCTGGAGCCTGTTTCCGATTCTGTGTCTCCCTCTCTCTCTGCCCCTCCCCCGTTCATGCTCTGTCTCTCTCTGTCCCAAAAATAAATAAACGTTGAAAAAAAAATTTTTTTTAAAAATTAAAAAAAAAAAAAAAGATACAAAGGAAAGGCAGAAACTTCTCTGAAATCTTCATCCTCCTGTTTAACCCCTTGATGAGCATTGTATTTAGTCTTTGCATGTTTATTCATAAATATAAGTTGTAATATTTATTACCAGTGGGATGTTTCAATGTTGGTTGTTTTTGTGTTTTGGTTTTTATTTACTAAGAAATGTGTCAAACAATAGACTAGATATACATTATCCTTTTCACTGGCTCTGTAATATTCTATTTGTAAAGGGGTATCATGACTTGTCTGCCCTGTTTCCTGTTTGTTGGTGTTTAGGTAGTTTCCCAGTCTTTATTATTTTACAAGTGAAAAGATTATTGATATGTATACATACATGTTTGTGCACTTCTATCCTTAGGAGAACTTCCAGAAGTGAGATTGCCAGATAAAAAAGCTTGCTTATTTAAAATATTCTGATTTTAATAATCCATTGATATCTTATAAGCAGTTCTTGTTATTTCATGTGGAATTTTCACATGGTATTGTAAATTAAAAAACAAACTTTAATGATAAGCATATTTATTGGGCATTTACTGTGTTCAGGCACAATTTTAAGCACACTGCGTATATTAACTTATTTAATTTTTGCGATATGAGACATATGAGTAACTACATTTTACAAAGAAGTAACTGTGGTCATACTGTTAGCTTAAGTGCTGAGCCAGGGCAGTGGCTCAGACATTTAAGAAACAAGTGCTTCACGACTGTCATACTGTGTCTACCTGCCAGTACCGTGGCTGTGTGATCAATAAGCACTGTTTTTTACTCAGGTTTTTAAACATTACTCTTATCTCAATGAGTAAATCTTTGTGACAGCAAAACTCCTGTATAATAAAAGTGCTTGTTTAAAAAAAGAAGACATGCATGTACTTGGTAGTCTACACATTATTTATGAAGCAGTGGGTTTGAGAGTCCTCCCTAGCTGACTTAATTTTTATCCTCCCTCCGCCATTGAAAGTAGGTAGTTTGAATCATAGGCAGCATTTCAAGATGATTGAATTTACCCTCTGCATCCTTCCTGTTGCTTTCTTTCTTTTTTGAATTACGTATAAACACACACACACATATATGTGTATATATATATATATTTAATTTAATTTGAGAGAGACAGCACTGAAGGGGAGGAGCAGAGAGAAGGAGAGACAGAATCCCAAACAGGCTCTGTCTGCTCTGTCAGCACAGAGCCTGATGCGGGGCTTGAACTCACAAACCTTGAGATCAGGACCTGAGCTGATATCAAGAGTTGGACGCTTAACCGACTGAGCGGCCCAGGCGCCCCTCTTTTTAAAATTTTTTAATGTTTGTTTATTTTTGAGAGAGGGACTGAGCACGAGTGGGGGAGGGGCAGACAGAGAGGGGGAGACAGAATCTGAAGCAGGCTGCAGGCTGTGAGCTGTCAGCACAGAGCCCAATGCGGGGCTCGAACCCACGGAGTGCGAGATCACTACCTGAGCCCAAGTTGGCCACCCAACCGACAGCCATCCAGGTGTCCCACTTCCTGTTGCTTTCTTATTTTATTACTATTTTATTAGTACTTCTCATTTTGCAGGTTAGTAAATTGAGGCTTATACCTTGCCAGTGGTGTCTTTACTTCCATTTCTTAGCAGTTAAATCTTGTGTCCTTAGAATGTATTTTATGCTTCCTATGCTATATTTATTTTTGGTAATGAAGTTTCTGATGAAATAGGCCCTCGAAAAACATTTTTGTATCGCTGTTAACAAGGTGATATGATTTACTTTGTCAATCACTTTCCATCCCCCGTATTTTATAACTCTTGAAAGATTAGGTCCATATGTTAAGTGCCTGGTACTGTGCTAGGAGTATGGTGGAGCTCGTTAAACTTCTATTTTTGTCCTGTGTCTCTTGTTGGTCAGGTAATGGTCTTCTGTTGCACCCTGCCCCCCACCTCTAGAGTACTAGAAACATGAATCCTTTGCATTTAGACCAGATTGTTCTTTAAAGGTTCTTTTATGTTCTGTGACCTTTTAAGATACCTGGTCTTTGAACCATTCATGGCTACGGTGCTTCTCATTTTGCTGGGCATATTACTGTGTCAAAGTTACAAACTTTCCCATTTACATTCGGGGCAATATGCTTATTTAATTAATGAGCACCTGAGACCAGAGGCAGAATGCGGAAAGCAAAGAAAGGATGGTTGATGGCATATTTCAAAGATAGGGTAGAGGGGCGCCTGGGTGGCACAGTCGGTTAAGCGTCTGACTTCAGCCAGGTCACGATCTCGCGGTCCGTGAGTTCGAGCCCCGCGTCGGGCTCTGGGCTGATGGCTCAGAGCCTGGAGCCTGTTTCCGATTCTGTGTCTCCCTCTCTCTCTGCCCCTCCCCCGTTCATGCTCTGTCTCTCTCTGTCCCAAAAATAAATAAACGTTGAAAAAAAAATTAAAAAAAAAAAAAAAAGATAGGGTAGGGAGCTGAGTTCTGAGACTTAATTTTGTATGTTTACTAGGTTATCCTTGGGGTTCTTTTTCTTTGTGCCAAATGGGATGAAAGGCTTCAATCCTAGCTTGTTACCTCCTGTGATTCTGGAGGTGAACACTGAGATGGGAGAAGGGAGGATCGCTTTTCATATATATATTTTGTATGTATATGAAAAGTATAAAGGGGTATATGAAAGTATATGTACATATGAAATGTGTGTATGTATGTTTGCACATAATAAAACTTTTCTGTCTATGTAAATTACTGTGCAATTCAATTATATTTTAGGGAGGACAACATAAAATATAATTGGTCTCCTTTCTGTAGTTGGGAAACCATCCTAACTCTTGCTGGGTCTAGCATTTTAGCTGTATACTACCAAGGGATTTCTCTTGTCCTGCTGATGTGCTAGAGAATGAATGGTCCTTCCTGCTTGGCTACTGATAATTGGGGTATGGGAAATTTGTATGTCTTTTGTGTCTTATGGATAAGGGATAGTGATGTGTAAGTGGCTTGTCTTCTAGCTCTGTGTTGCTTCACTATTTCAAGTCTGGATCCAAACACCTTGTGGCCCGTTTGCTATAGGATTTGTTCTGAACTAAACAGGATTAGTAGAATAAAGAAGCAGAGATTATTTAAAAAGTATTGTATTAGGAATCATGTCTAGTAAATAGAAGTAGATACTAGAATTGAGTACTTAAAATTGACGTAGGTTTAATACAGTGGCCATCTGCAGAATTTTAACATTTAAAAAAAATTTACTGTTGTTCATTGGAGCTTGTTTTTATTGGCTATATTTCACTTGATGGATGACAGAAATATACATAGGCTTACAAAGTAATTTCAGTGTTTTGCAGTTGTTATAAAGGAGATAGTGTAGGAGTAAACAATGAAAACAAAATAATGAAAGTGTATTGATTTTAGTATTTCTTATAGAGCAAATATATGCTTATTAAACAATGTTGAGAACGTGCTGGAAAGTGTAACTTGGAAACAAACTCACCTACAGTCCTTTAATTTATATCCTGTTACATGAAAAGGAATTGTCTTTGAGTACAGAAATAGTTTTGAATTTTGAACATACTAGTCAATGCAGAAAATACCATTTCATGTAACATGAAGGAGAATCTGGGGAAGATTGTGGTATCACCCTCTTTTTGCTTTATTTACCTCTACCTTTTCCCCACCTTGCCCTCAGTTTTTAACTTCTGCTGTCCTATTTAAGAAGGGATTTTACCTTACTCGAGTCTGAGTTCTTGTGTTATCTCAGCTGGTGACTGAAGGTTGTAGAAAGAGGCCGTCCCTTAACAAAATTTGAGGCCTCATCATGGAGGGAGAGATGTTTATGGGTGAGGCATGGAGAATTCTTGATTATATATAAGGACTTTTTATTATCATTATTTCTGATACTTAAGTAATTCATTGAGTTTTTTTACATTGGTTTTATACATTTGGTTGTTGGACATTTACTTTCTTTGTGACTGTAACATTGCCAAAAACATTTTGCGTAAAATTTCAGAATCTGAATTCTAAATTTTTGTTTTTAGGAAGGATCGAGATCGTGACCGGGATCGTGAAGATCGGTCTAAAGATCGAGACCGAGAACGTGATAGAGGAGATAGAGAGCGGGAGAGGGAAAAAGAAAAGGAGAAGGAATTGCGAGCTTCGACTAATGCTATGCTTATCAGTGCTGGATTACCACCTTTAAAAGCTTCCCATTCAGCTCACTCAACCCACTCTGCTCATTCAACACATTCGACACATTCTGCTCATTCAACACACACCGGACATGCAGGACACACATCACTTCCACAGTGCATTAATCCATTTACCAACTTACCCCATACTCCTCGATACTATGATATTTTAAAGAAACGGCTTCAGCTCCCTGTTTGGGAATACAAGGATAGGTTTACAGATATTCTGGTTAGACATCAGTCCTTTGTACTGGTTGGTGAGACTGGGTCTGGTAAAACAACACAGGTGAGTTATCGTATACCATGGTATATACTGTATTGATGTTTACCTTTACTAAATGTTGCTTATTTGATTCTGGTCGTCCTTCCCATTGTCTGTCTGGTAGAACATCCTGAAGAATAATAGCTGCTTTGATGGTTAGCACTTTTCAGTGACAGAGAGTGGGAATCTGGTAGGGAACGCCTGTTTTCCTGAGTCTAGAGGGAAATAGTAGTGCTGTTTTGTTAATATTAAGTATGGCAGAATGATGCTTTCCCACCACTTTGATTCTGGGGTAGTGCAAATTTGGAGGTACAAGTTTTGTCCATTGCTTGAGTGTAGAGATTTGAACCATTGGGGCGGTTTTGTTTTTGCTATTCTCGTTTGTTTCTTTGTTTTGTTTTGTAATTGTTTTGAACCATGTGAGGATTATCTATGCTTAAAAAAAAATGGAATGGCTAAATTAAAGTCTGTTTCCCCGTGCATGACCTCCATCCATCTAGTTACATCCTCCCCCCGTGTACATAGAAGTAAACGCTAGTATGTTGTTAGTAATATGCCTAGGATATTTTTCAAAAATGGATGAGCCATTGTTTACTGGACCCACATTATAGACCCCTATGCTGCTTCTAATGGTTTTCATGAGCAAGTAGATCCATATCCAATAGAATATACTACTGAATGTGAAATTTTACAAATCTGATAGGTAAGAAAGGGCATTTCAGTGTAATTTTTAAAAATAATTTAAAGTTTATTTTGAGAGACTGAGAGATGGTGAGCAGGGGAGGGGCAGAGAAAGAGAGAGAGAGAGAGAGAGAATCCCAAACAGGCTCTGCAGGGTCAGTGCAGAGCCTGATAACGGGGCTTAAACTCATGAAACTGTGAGATCATGATCTGAGCCGAAATCAAGACTTGGATGCATAACCCACTGAGCCACCCAGGCACCCCTGAGTGTAATTTTTCATTTGCATTTTCTTGCTGTGAGTGAAGTGTTAATCATATTTTCATATGCTTGACTTAAAAGTTTTTAAGATACTACAAAAGTAGTAGTCCCTGGCCATTGTAGAAAATGTGGAAAATCCAGGGAGTACTGAAATGAATTTAATAAATTCATAAATTATTATGTTGTGTTTCCTGGTGGCTTGTTTTCCACGTTTATATACCTGTGATACATGTATAGAATTGAGCATACTGCATATGCGATTACCATTTATTTTTATTTTATTTCTATTTTTTTTAAGTTTACTTATTTTGAGAGAGACAGTGTGAGTGGGGAGGGGCAGAGAGAGAGAGGGAGAGGGAGAATCCCAAGCAGGCTCCACACTGCTAGCACAGAGCCCAATGCAGGACTCGAACCCATGAAACTGAGAGATCATGACCTGAGCCGAAATCAAGAGTCCGGATGCTTAACTGACAAAGCCACCCAGGTGCACCTCCCCACCTCCCGCCCCATTTTTTTATTTTATTTTTTTAAAGTTATATATGCTACAAACCTATCAATTTGGGTATATCATGGAGACATTTTGAAGGCTACAGTGGCAACCAGAATAGGAAGATTTTAAAGACTGAGCCTTTAAGGGGCACCTGGGTGGCTCAGTTGGTTGGGGATCCAACTTCAGCTCAGGTCATGATCTCACAGCCTGTGGGTTTGAGCCCCACGTCGGGCTCTGCGCTGACAGCTCAGAGCCCAGAGCCTGCTTCGGATTCTGTGTCTCCCGCTCTCTCTGGCCTTCCCTGTTCATGCTCTCTGTGTCTCAAAAATAAGTAAACATTAAAAAAAAAAAAAAGTTACATACGCTACAAACCTATCGATTTGGGTATATCACGGAAACATTTTGAAGGCTACAATGGCAACTGGAATAGGAAGCTTTTAAAGACTGAGCCTTTAAAATGATTTTTCTTAATAAGTGAAAGAAAACTTCTTGTGTTGATATTAGGAATTGAAACTGATTTCAGTTTCACTATTACCTTGTGAAAATTTGAATAATGTGTGAAAAGATATAATAACTCTAAACTTCTTAGTATAGTATTTTGAAGAATTACTTCAACTGGTTTATCTAGTTTGCATAGTGTTAATTTATCTGTTTAGTTAACAGTTGGATAAAGCTAGGCACTGTGTCCTATATATGTATTACCTCACTTAAGTGTTTCAGCAACCCTACAAGGAAGTTAATCACCATTTTACAGATGAGCAAAATGAGCCTTAGACTCATAACAATCTTAGAGATATAGTGGGTTGCCCTAGGTTACGTAATAGATATTTAGGTGGGCTCAGTATTTAAAACTATTCCTTTGTTATAGCCAAAGTTATATTTATTTCATTCTGCTATTCTGTGGTCTTACGTGGTTAACCTTAATTCAGAGATGAGTTTATTTAGGAGCAATTAATGTAGAAGAACATCAGTTCGAAACAAAAAAGGTTTGTGATTATTTGGATTAATATTTATGGTTTTTTTTTGTTTTTGTGTACTTACAATGGCAGGGCATTTGGGGGATTCAAAGGGAAGCTGAAAGCTTGAATAATGAGTTGCATCCAAATGCTTTTTTCACATAATCCTGTTAAAAACTTTGACTCGAAACCACTAAGAGTAGTCAGCCATTTTTGGTTATCTTTTTGTGCCTGTCAGAAAATGAAATCCTCAAAGCAAAATCTAAACTATCGACTCTTTTGACTAAGACTTCTAATAAAGTCACTTTGCATTGCAACTTGCTACGTTCCTACTATATCCTTATGTAAGAGACTAAAGCTTGTTCTTTCAGTCCACGGGACCGCATGAACAAGGGCACAAGTTCAGAGAGGAGAAAGCTTTGTGTACCCTGGCCAGCACATAGGGTGTGTGTGAAGAGGCAGGTGAGATGAACAGCGGGCTGAGAGCCTTAATGTATACTGTAGATGGGGGAGCCATCAGAGCATTTCACTGGAGGAGAATGATAAGAATTTTTACAACAATGTTCTGTCTTTGAGAATGTTGATGACAGACTCTGTAGGAGGTAATCACAAAAATTTGACTGGATAAGGTGGTAGGATGGAGAATGACAGGTGGATTGGAGTTAGGATGTTAATACTGCTGAGGGGACATGGGAGGAATTAATAAGTATTTGGAGGAAGGGGAGAAATGGTTTTGGTTTTGAACTTCTTGAATTTGTGATATCAATGGACTGCTTCTCAGGTGGAAATGACCACAAGGTTAGGTATGGGAACTGTCATTAGGATTGTTATTTGGTGTATTCTAGGTAATGTTAGAAGTCCGAGGAGAATGAGACCAATCAGGATAATGTGTAAAATAAGACTAGAGGGTTGAGGATCGGTTTTTAGGAAGGTAGCCTCAAATGGAAGGGCAGAAGCTGAAAAGAAGGGTTGGAGCCAGTTTGAAGCCTGGTTTGAAGAAGCCTGTACCCTGCATATTTCCGTTCCTGCTTCCCTTCTTAATGCTGTTCTTAGAACTATGAATAGATGGCATTGACTGCGCCGTTTTCCAAATACTGTCTGGGAACCCTTGAAGGTCCTTGAAACTCTTTCTAAGGTCCTGGGAATTTCTGAGTTTACTTCCAGTGAAACACAAATAATGGCAACACATCCAGAATCGAAGCCCATTAGAGAATAAAACTCTTCTAGTAAGCCAGACATTAGACATCTGCAAAAATGCAGGAACAATGTACTCTTGCTAATTTTTTCTTTTTTCTTTGGAAGATGTAATTATTTTTCATAGAGAATGTTTGTGTTAGTATAGAGTGGGCTTTTATTGTTAGGAATTAATAGTCTAACAATTTTTCAGTTTTAATTTCCTAATATAGTAAATCTATTAGTTTGGTATCCTTGGTTATTTTAAGAGTATAAAGAGGTTCTGAGATCAGAAGTTCAGAAATTGCTATATTAGTCAAAACTTTATATTTTGTTTTTAAAGTGGGAGTAAGTTATCCATTTCACTGAAGTAAATTTAAAAATCTTTTGAACGTTCTTGCCTTCAGAATTCAGAATTAGTTTTAAATAGCTTTAACTGAATGGCAAATGTTTCTTTGAATTTCATTTTGTTTGGTCTTATAAAGTACATGTTTTTGCCTATTTAAGAAGCTTGATGAAATGAGATAAATCTATAAAACTTTGCTAGAAAGCCACTTAAACTTTGGTTTGTGGGTTTACAGACGTAGAGAGGAGACCCTTCTGTTTTAGGGTAGTATTTATTTCTGTTCATTTCAAATCCTTTAAAGATACATATTGTTAAAAAATTCTTAGAGAGGTTGCAAAGTCACCCTTCCCCTGTCAGATATTTGTCGGTGAAAACGGTTATCCCCAAATTGCAGAAGTAACGTAACTAAAATACAGTAATGGTACAGCAACCTATATACAGGTGTCCTTGTACAGATCCTGTACCAGAAAAACCTGCACGTGGGTTTTCTCTAGTATCAGAGTTTGTTAGGCTTTTGGATGCTTTTATGGACACCCATCATGAACTTACAGCAGTAGATTCCCATTTCTTGTAGTGATCACTTAGATTTTTTCCATGGTTTTTACGCAGGTAAGTGAAGAGCCATGAAATTCGAGGTTCTATTAGGTTCTATTGATAATGGAACAAGGAGGAAATGCACTGTCACCATGGCAGCCATCCAGCTTGCGCTTGGTGTTTTTGGTGATTTTTCTGGCTTCTCCAGGTGCTGTTGAATTCGAGATTGACAATTACTGTAATTGACTTTTAAGATGGCACCTAAGGTGTTGGTATTGTGCCTCCTCTCCTGCAGGCAGAAGGATAGGAGTTAGATTCTGCTGGCTTACAAACCAAATTTGAATGGATTTACAAGGCACATAGCTCTATAACTACAAGAGGATGTGATTTCTACTTTTACCTGCATTTTGTAATTCATTAAGAATTTAATTAATAGTTTCTTAGAATAATTTTGGAAACTCACATTTGTTACAAAGTAGAATTTTTCTGTATTTTTTTATTAAAAAATTTTTTTAAATGTTATTTATTTTTGAGAGAGAGACAGAATGCAAGCAGGGGAGGGGCAGAGAGAGAGAGGGAGACACAGAATCCAAAGCAGGCTTCAGGCTACAGAGCCCGATGTGGGGCTCGAACTCACGAACTGTGAGATCACGACCTGAGCTGAAGTCACACTCAACTGACTGAGCCACCCAGGCGCCCCTAAAGTAGAATGTTTCATGGGTTGAGTTTCTTTCCAGTGTATAGAGAAATGCTTAATGATGGAACAGTTGATGTTAGAGAGCATACTCCGCACAGCCTCGGGGGACCTAGCCCGTTCAGGAGTACAGTTATGTCATATCAGTGTTACGTAGGACTCCTCCTTGGCCTAGAGAGCTCACAGAGCTCATGCTGTAAGTTTGAGTCTTAATAATTTGTGGTGTGCCTGACTGAATTTTGTTTTACGTGATCGGAATGCAATAAAATACGACATGTTAAGTATACCTAATATGCAGGCAGAGTAGAATTTAATTTAAATGTGAAATTATTTGATAGATTCCACAGTGGTGTGTGGAGTACATGCGATCATTACCAGGACCCAAGAGAGGAGTTGCCTGTACCCAACCCAGGAGAGTGGCTGCAATGAGTGTGGCTCAGAGAGTTGCTGATGAAATGGATGTGATGTTGGGCCAGGAAGTTGGTTACTCCATTCGATTTGAAGACTGCAGTAGTGCAAAAACCATTCTTAAGTAAGTACTATCTTTAAAAATGGCTACTTTGTTTCTCTCCTTTCAGTTTTCTGCCACTAGACAGGGGACTTGCTAGTGGAGTCTCAAGTCATCCAAGTTTAGACTAGTGCAGAGTAGACCTTCCTAGACTTACTAGGTGACTTTTTGATAGGGATTCTCTTTCTTGCTGGTAATATATATCACTCAGTAGACAATGAATTTCAAAGGTCAGATTTTAGTTATTTTGTGCTGTATCGTAGGTGAAATGTTCTATCACTTAAATGATAGAAAAGTTAAGTGATGCATCTTAGTAAAGGATAGTTACTTTAGAAAGAAAGATGTGTGGGATGAGATAGAAATTATTTGGGGAAAAGGGCTTTTAATGTTAATTATACAGCTATTACCATACATATATTATGAGCTAAAGAGAGGAATCTTTTGTTTTGTAATATACTCTGGGAGTCTCCTCAAATTCCTTTTCCTTTTCCTTTATAGCTGTGGTGCATTATTGACTACCATATGGAGCTTTTTTCTAAAATTTTCTTTAACTCCTAATTTTTTTTTCGTCTTACACTTGTACTCTGCATAAGTCGTAATACATGTTGCCTGATGGTAATTCTTTTGAAAATCTTCCCCTTTTGTTGCTTCTGTTTTTTCTGTGTATATGTGACATTTAAATCATTTTTTAAAAGTGATTTGTCACAATGTAATCTCTTCCCTGAGGTTTTTAAAAGACATTTTTGGAACAGAATGTTACATGGGCAGTGAAATGAGTCATTGATGGCAGAAAATATATGCGGTGTTGTAGGGTAAATTATGTATTATGGAAATTGTCAAATGTATGCAGAAGTTACAGTAGTATAACGAACTCCCATGTATTCGGCATCTTCAGCTGTGACAGTCTTGTTTCATCCAGATCCCAACCTTTTCCCCGTCCCATATAATTTGGAACGAATCTTAGACGTTATATATTTTCATCTCTAAATATTGCAGTGTATATAGCTCAAAGATAAAGTTTCTTAAAATACAGCTATGATATTCACAACTTAAAATGTTTCCCTAATCAAAACATCCAATCACTCTTTAAGTTTCATGTCAATTTTTTCTAGCTTCTTTGATAATATTTTATTGGAACTCCAGGTTAAAGAATTCAGTATTGTTTTTTTTTTAATGTTTATTTATTTTGAGAGAGTAAGCGAGCAGGGGAGGGGCAGAGAGAGGGAGAGAATCCCAAGCACACAGGGCTCTAACTCACCCTGTGAGTTCATGAGATCATGACCTAGTTAAAATCAAGAGTTGGATGCTTAGCCTATTGAGCCTCCTAAGTGCCCCTCAGTATTGTTTTGTTTTTTTAATTTTTTTTAATGTTTGTTTATTTTGAGAGAGCGCGCGTGCGCGCGCACACACACACACACACACACACACACACGCACGCACGCATGAGCGGGGGAGGGGCAGAGGGAGAGGGAGACGCAGAATCCAAAGCAGGCTCCAGGCTCTGAGCTGTCAGCACAGAGCCTGATGTGGGGCTTGAACCCATGAACTGAAGATCATGACCTGAGCTGAAGTCGGACGCTCAGCTGTCTGAGCCACCCAGGTGCCCCTCAATATTGTTTTTAATATAGTAGCTGGACAAGTATTTACTTAAGTTAGTTTGCCTTTTGACTTTAAGGCATTGTTTTGGTTTGTATCTTAAACTTCATTGGATATTGTTTACTTGTAATTATATAATTGATGAAAGAACTACATAAAATCATAAGATTTTATACTAATTTAAAACGTAGATAATGTCAAGGACTGGAGGAAAATAAAGGTAGATTCTACTCATTTTTAGAAGAAATAATATAATTATTTTGACATTCACTGTATTGAATGTTCTTCTTTGGTAAGCTACAGTTGAGCAAGGAAAATGGAATTTGGAAACAGGGCGAGATGAAAGTTATATGCAACACTGGGTCAGAGAGAGAGAGTGTGTGTGTGTGTGTGTGTGAGAGAGAGAGAGGAAGTGGCAGGCTTTCAAAAGATGTATGCTTATGGTTCACTTAATAGGGAATGACAAGTAATGTAAATTGATTTGATAGATCAAAATGAATGTATTTTTGGCATTGTGATGTTTTCTTATGGAATGGTTCTCAGAGGCTATTACTAAACTTAAAAAAAAAACAAAAAACCCAAAACTTAATTTTGGACAGGGTAAGCTTACTGAGATTTCTTCTAGAACTTGAAGAGCTAGAAACTAACCCAAGATTATCTATAAGTGATAGTAAATCCCATTTAATAGTAAGGAGTTAGTGATAGTTTTGATGATAGGAATGCTTCATCATAAATCTCTAGATATATTTTGTATAGTCATCTATCAACTCATTTCTTGAATACCCCAGATCCCAGATGTTAAAAACAGCTAGAACCTTCTTCTTTTTTTAAAATGTTGACTTATTACTTTTGAGAGAGACCGAGAGAGTGTGAGCCAGGGAAGGGGCAGAGTGAGAGTGGGAGAAAGAGAATCCCAAGCAGGCTTGATCCCATTAACTGTGAGATTGTGACTTGAGCTGAAACCAAGAGTTGGATGCTTAACCTACCGAGCCACCCAGGTGCCCCGAAAATAGCTAGCACCTTAACTTAAGGAAGATCAGTTATAGGTAATTGGGCAGGAAGAGTGAATACCGCAGGCAGCTCTCAGTGTCCTCTGTTAGCTTTTCTCATACACAGATGAACTTTGAGCCACATAGGGAGTAGGAGCAGCAGCCCCCCAAGTCAAATCTGTATATAACTTTTTTTTAATGTTTATTTTATTTCGAGAGAGAGAAAAAGTATGAGTGGGGGAGGGGCAGAGAGAGAGGAAGAGAGAATCCTAAGCAGGCTCCACGCTGTTAGTGCAGAGCCCGACTTGAGGCTTGATCCCGCCCCTGTGAAATTATGACCTGTGAAATCATGACCTGACCCAAAATCAAGAGTCAGACCCTCACCTGACTGAGCCAGCCAGGCACCCCTGCATATAACTGTATAACTTGTGACTTCCCCCAAACTTAACTTACCAGTAGCCTACTATTGGCTTCATCAGTAACCGTCAACACATATTTTGTATGTTACGTGTGTACTATCTACTGTATTCTTACAACAAAGTAAGTGAGGGAAAAATAAGCAAAAATACATTTACAGTACTGTACTGCATCTGTTGAAAAAAATCTGTGTTTAAATGGACTTCTGCAGTTCAAACATGTGTTGCTCAGGGGTCAACTGTGGATATAAATGCCTGTATGTCCATTATTTAGCCAGGAAGAAAAAAACTTCTAATTTTGACCATAGAAGGATGGTTAAAGAGGACTAACTACTGAAAAATCTACCTGGGGGACTCAGACTGCAACCTCTTCCTGATTTCGTTGTTGAAACTAAACAAATAACTTTTTTGCTAATTAAATAATTTTGTTTTAAGAGTACTTAAATTAGTGTATATTTAAGTCATCTCTAGGCACATTAAGGGTTTAAAAGTACTTTTTCCGGTGTTTCAGACATAGATACTTAAATTCTGGATTCTAGGTCTAATCCTGTGCTATTTTCAGAAGATTGAATCTAGTGTAAATTCGTATACTCTGTTAGACTAGCCTTAAAAGGCTGTCCTGTCCCAGTAGACAGATTAGTTTTCAAGCCGCCACAGCTAAATGGTTTTTATATTTTGTTTGTTGTGATTTTTGCCTGCTCCCGTCTCTTTTCTGAATTGTTCCTTTTGCAATATGTTTATGTTCCATTTACCATTTTGGGATGGAAATTACGAAAAAAAACCTAGTGAGATAGCTAAAGAACAGCACCAGTCAGTGGACGATGTTGCCAGGTTTGTGACTTGTCAGTGAAATTATTTTAATTCACAAAGATTGTGAGGAAGAAGAGGTGATATACTTCTGCAGTGGATTTTAAGAAGCACCTTGGAGTTGTGATAAATTGTAAGAAATAGGTTATTTTATTTTGAGAGAGCAGATGATTTTTTAGGGAATAAAACAAGTTGATAGTCTTGAGCCTTCGGGCAAACATATTTGCAGTTGGTAATTTGGTAGTTAATTTAGTTATTTCCTTTTTGTTTTCTCCCCCAAAGCTGCAAAATTTTGAGATATTTTGCTATTGAGAGAACCTAGTCATTTATGTAAGTCAGTTAATTGAGTGCCTTCTGTGTGTTGGACGGTGCTAGATGGATAGTGCGAGATGTGCTAAAATGTAGATCTGGTTCTTGTCCCCATAAAGTAAATACTACAAATGGTGATTAGGTTTCTGAAAGAGAGTACTGGGGGTTATATGAGAGCATGATTTGAAAATTCAACTTAGACTGGAAAAGAGAAGGTGGGATTTAAGTCAAGGCCTAAGTTGAAAGTAATAGTTCTCTAAGTGTAGGGATTGGGGTACAGGGAGCAGAGCATTCTCGGCAGATGGAACAGCATTTTTAAAAACTTTCTGAAAGGAAGAAAAAAGCACTTGAGAAGACATTGCAGTCTCTATATTCTTTAAAGTGTCCAAATGATTTGTGTATGTCAGCATTTCCATGCCAAATCACTTTTGAGATGTTACAGGACTGGTTTATGGAAAGTATGGATAATTAAAGATTGATTTCTTTCTTTTGCCTAGTTGGAGCATAAACTCTTTAGGAACAAACAGTTTGTGTCTATGTCTGTATACTTATGCATGGAACTTAAAAAAAAATTCTGAGTTGGAAAAGGCAACAGAAGAGTGAAACTTGTCAATACAATGTAGAGTGTGGGTGAATCTTAGACATAATTGTGAGACATGGGTAGCATTTTCATCAAAAGACATTTTCCCCTATTTCTTGGTAGAGAGGGTATAGTGATAGTGTAATTGGGTGTATACAGTTTATAATTTGCCTCTTATTCTGAATCTTTTGCTTTTGGGTATCAGATTCCAAAATTGAAAGGAATCTGTCCCAGGCTAAGGAATTGATCTGGGGTAGTGTTAATGAAACAGAAAGTGTTATGGTTCTTTATTCAAGGACACGTATTCTTTAAGACTGCACCATCCTG